GGGTATGGCTTAGAAGATATTAAGAAGTCGAAAACGTTTTTTTTWTTAATAATAATTGCATTCTTCACTTTTTTATACAAAATTTTTAAAATATAGCGAATTTCTTCATAATTTTCACTCATTTTTGAACAACTGTAACTTTTTTTCAACTTCTCTGAATTTAATTTTTCTTTTTTTGTTAAACAARGCTTAAAATCTCACCTCACCTTCCCAACACTATATGGTATGACGCACTGTGATTGGTAGCACTGGACATATACAACTTCAACGACATCTATTGACAAAATACGAAAAGGCTTTTTCGACTTTACAATATATTCCTGAGGTGCTTTGAGTGATGTCGTAACTTGATTATTATTCCACCTTCCCAATATTCTTAACTTGCATTGAAAAACTACTGTCCTTGTGTTTCTTTTTCGCTCAAATAATAGTTCGTCAAAAAAGTCTTGCGGTATTTTTATTGAATTTTCAATTCTTCATAAAATTTTTTTTGATGACTCATGCCCAGCTCTTGACCGATGCTACGGCTGCTACTATGCCGCTCTCTTTCGACCAATTCAGTGATTTTATCGCAACCACCTCTACACCAGAACGAAAACGTTGAAACCATCGTTGTGCGGTGGAAATGGAAACTGTATCGGGTGCATAAACTGCATAAATTTTATTGGTGGCTTGAGAGGCATTTTTGCCTTTATCGTAGTAGTACTGTAAAATGTGCCGTAWTTTCTGTTTATTTTGCCCCATGTTTGCGACGTTATAACTCACGAACGACTTAAAAGAAACGACAATCAATCAAACCGTGCGTGAAATGAGCTTTCCAAAAAGGTATAGCATGACCCGATGCGGTGAAAAAACTAGAACTACGCGCTCTCAGCGCCAACAAGCGAAAATACCGCAAGACTTTTTTGACAAGCAATATGTGTATTTTTTGTTGGGCTTGGAAAAATATTTTCCGGGCGAGTTCTATCCACATTACTTTCATATAATAAGCCGAAAGTTATCAAAGTTGGGTGRAAGCTATGGTGAGAGCATGTTTTGGCTGGATAAATATGCTAAAAATGGCTTGCACGATTTCAAATTGGTCATTTTGAMGTATCCAAATGACGAACGTACTGACAAAAAAAGTTCGACGGTAAGAAACTGAAAGCATTACCTGCTGAAGATTATTGGCAAGCACAAGAAGAACTCGAAAAATTTTTGAAAGTCACTCATGCAGAAATTGCATAACGTTGAAAAACAGCGGGATATATTCAAAGTAAAGAAATCGGGACCATGAATTTAGTCATTTCAAGGAGAATTTGATAGACGATTTTTCATATCATGTCAAAAATACGGCTTGAACGCTACAGAAAAAAATCGTTTTGCAACGCATTATGACTAATGGTAAAAATGGATTCACTACGGCAATCTTTAATATATTTTGTCATTTATGAAACCTGGTCAACCAGGTCTATGACGCCAAAGTAATGCTTTGTATTTGTGTCGATCAGAAGCACGTGCTGTGTTTTGAACCCGGTGAAGCCATTAATGTGGAACACTACCAACCACAACTCATCAAATCGTAGCAAACGATTGCCGAAAATGTTCGGGATTTCCGACTAGATACGAGGCAATAGCTTTTCAATATGAAAACCCGAGCATTTCAAGGCATGTTTCTTACCCGCCATATTGCCTATTCCTTGCCTCCTCTGAYTGCCATTTGTTCCGGTCGATGCAGAACGCCCTCACGGAAATGTGGTTCACATCAAAGCAGGGTATTTATTTTATTTTGGCTTCATTCATTCTTGACCAACAAGTGGGCGCAATTCTTTTAATAAAACTACCCTACATGCTTTTCTTAAATAACAGTTCAATTTTTGGAAAAAATACAAATTATTTAAGAGATAGGCGAAGTTAGGAAACTAAAAAAAAAAAAAGAAAAAAAAAATTTTAATAAGTTTTTTCTGAAATGATAAAATATATTAGAAGACTTTTCTAAAACTGACAAACACTTTTCCCGTTATTGGATACAAGGATATTCGTGTAAAAGTTTAAATAAATTTTTCTCAAAATTATGTTTTTTGAAGTGGTGATTACTGCGGCTTGAAATTATCTCGGTAGATTTCACGAAATGCATACATTTATACATGAAATACACGGCTTTTATGAATTTTTTAATTTTAATTTTTTAWAAACAGTAACTTTTGGATTTGGCCGAAAATCTGAAAAAAAAATCTGCGATCGTGTTTTTGTGGATTCAAATAATTAAATAATTTACTAGCAAAAATCATTATTTAAAATYGTAGCTCATTCATGTGAAATGAAATATTAATAATGTAGTTCTAAATCTAAAGTGAAAAAAATTCTAGCTATTTTACACACCAGCTTTAATATCAGGTTTAACTAACTATTGTTTTTTTTTTTCAATAAATATCATGACTTTCTTTAATCRAAAAGCCAAACTTATTCAAATTATRCCACAACAACTTCTATTTCTTACCTCATCAGTTTTGCAGCTTCTATTCCCGTTTGAGCTTATTCCACTGCCATAATTTAAAATATTACTCCGCTGTATTATCATATCAAAAGTAGCAGTATGATTGCGCTTAATGGTCGAAAAAACCCCAAAAAGCCATAACAAACAATAGGAATAAACCCATAATAAACCAAATTATTACCCTCTTGATATCCGAGGCAGAAGTGTGGCATATTTTGACAGTCACTAGAACTTGTTCGTCTCAACACCTGAACGCGTCACATAAAAAAACTTTATTGACAGAACTCACCTTTGTGGGCAGACAAATTGTACCTGTTACGGAACCAAATTAACCGGACCACTTCATAAGTGCAAAAAAAGTAGATTATTCAAAACAAATTTTAGGGGAAGCAGCATTTTCGCACGTCGCGGATGTTTACGAACTCATAAAAGGTCGAAGAACCAGTTTCGGGAAATAAAATAAATAAATTGCATATGCAATCAAAATCGGTTGACATTAATTGACGTGCAAATGAACGAAAGCTGCTTCGGTGGCGACACTAACCGAGAATGGGTTCCGACACGTTTCGCAATAATTAATGTTAATAGTTGTGATAAGKAATAAAAATAAAATGAATATTTAGAAGCGAAATTTAGTTGTTTTTTATTTAAGTATAAATATTTCATATATRTAGAGGAGTAGGGAAAATATAAATGTAGAAATGCGCTGCAAAAGGGAGAGAGCTCTCAATAATAAGTGAGAAAACTCCCAATAATTGTTCAAAATAATTCCTCCCTTTGGGGATACAAACAGCTCCCAAAACTTTAGTGTTTTGAGCGTTTTTCTCAAAAAGGTGGTTTCTAAGTTAGTATATGCAAAAATGGATAGCGAAGTACTAGAGTATATGTCTGTGCCTACACCGCACTCCATTTTGGTCCCGTCGGTAAAGATTTTTCTGGTATATTCTTTCCCTACTAAACATCTTATCCAATCACGTCTAGAGCGTATTCTCACTGGTATCACTACTGAAGTTCACCCTAAACATTATTAAGTCTGTCTTTCACTTTCTGTATGAAAATGTCCATGGACAGTTGGTTTGGCACATACTTAGTACATCATTCGGACATGACTCAAACACCTCGGTAACCAATGCACAGGCTGCTCTGTGAATACTATTTCATTTTCTGGTTGTATATAGTTTATCGAATGCAGACCAATTAACCGGTGACGGCCACAAACCTCCACATGGTTTTAGGTCCGACTTTCTGCTGTGAATACTTTTGCACATCTAATAGTATTTCTTAATAAATGGTCGTGCCTTATCATAATAAGATGGGTTTCTATTGCAGATAATTCTAGCAAAATATAACCACAGCCTGACGCCTTTTTTCGAGGTCCGACTACAGATCAGAGTCCAAAAATTTTTAAAAGAAATTTGATGGATGAAGAAACTGCAAAGATAAACATTTCTGTAACTGTTTGTAATAGCTGCAGGTGCATTGAAAATTATAGGCGAAAGTTCTTCCTTCTTTCCCACTTACAGTCATAATTAACCCAAAAGCCGTTAGATGCATAACAATGTTATAATTATGAATTACCTAGAAATATTGCGGAAATTTTGCACAAACAGTTGCCAACCAAAACAATTTCATAAAATTTAAAAACCTCACACAGCCACAAATTCAATTTTAATGGTGTGAGTAGCAGATTATGAGATTATATGCGTGAATTAACCGAGGAGACACTGCTAGCGGCTGCAAGGCACGCATACCGAAGCAATTTTCTTAAATTTTCCGATGTGTTGGTGAGCACATAGGCTTTTCAAATGTCAGTGAAATGCAAAGCGATATTATTTCTTTGAAATTAAATGCATAAAATATATTTACTTATCTAAATTAATTAATTTTSAAGAGAAAATATATATTTGCGATTAAGATATCTCTTTACAAAACACTAATATTTCAGTGCAAAATTCCATTGAAGCAGATTTACCCGGCAAAACCCACACCAACACCATTACTCCGCACTAATACTACCACAACACCGCAACCGGCAGTTGTACCACCACAAACAAACTCGAAAAGCTCGTCGCTCACTCAGCAAGCACCGCCGTGCTGAGAGCAGCAAATCAAAAGACTGCAGCAACGAACGCGCCGAGCACTGAAGCGAGCAACCAAAACGCGCAGCTGTAACTCAAGGCACTCTCACTTTCGTTAGAGGCCGTTTTCTGCTCCACAAAACATGCATACACACCGCCGTTCTGACTGCTGCTGCGCGCAGCGATTTTGTAATCGCGAAAGCTCGCTGAGCGCGCGCACACTCGCTCACGTAGCACGCAACGRCACAAGCGCTCCACCAGCGCTCGGCATTGCTAGCTTTGAATTTCGATTTCTAAGCGGCGCGTTGACGTCGGCAGCGCTGCTGTGCGGCACTGCGTAACATTTCCATGGCTTTGGCTCTTTTGGCGGCTCACCACTAAGTTTTGCGAGTTGGCATTTTTATTTTGAAAATATGTGCCGCGGTATATAAGCCAGCAGCTGGCMAACAGCAGCATCCAGTCAAAACTTTGGAATCGTTGCGATTCTACAAATAATTCTGCTTTAGTTGTATATAATTTAATTCAAATTCGAATTTGTTTGTATTATTTTGCATTGGGTTTTCAAGTGATCTAGTGCAAGTGCTGTGAATGTAAGTGTGTTTCAGTGTGCTACCAACAATAACTATCAAAGTAAAGCTTTAAAAACTTATGGAAAATATTGTGTTTAGTAACTGAAATGTATTGAACGCGTTTTTCAAAAATATTATTGAAACCCAATGAAGGCGCATTGAGTAATCACAAATTCTGTTTAATATTTGCAGTGTCATCGTAGCTGTGCTTTGGCGGTATTTTGTGATTAATTCTGCTGTTGACTGAAAAGGAACGCTGAAAATGAAATTATTTGTAAGTATGCGTGCTAGTTTTCAAAAAAAAAAGCCCCACTTTAATAACTTGATTTAAAAAAAATAAGTAACTTTTAATTAAAAACGCTTAAAAATTGTTTGAAATTCATTTTGGGCAAAGAAAAAACAATAAATCTCATTTCCTAAAGAAAATTATTTTTTAAAGTTGATTAAATTTTTTTCCCATTTATAAAACTTTGTAAACATTTTCTTTAGAAAAAGGTTCTGAAATTTTCAAACAAATTAATTGTTAATATCTTAATAATCTTCAAGCTTTTTTACTACTACTTTGAAAATATATGTGTTCAAGAAAAAAGTGGAAATTCCGCAAGAAAATATTATTTTTTGCAATTATAAAATAGTTAGATATTTTGAAAAATTTCTGATTTACTCAAGTATTGTTTTATCTTTTAAAGTTATTTAATTATTTATTTCTAGAAATACAACTTTTTTAAAACTTAAAAAAAATTTTTTTAAGGAAAGGTTCTGAAATTATCAAACAAAATTTTTTTTATAATAGCTTATAGTATATTTAGCTAACTGAATTAAATTTTTTTTGAATTTATATTTTTTTGACTACTTTGAAAACATTTTCTTTAAAGAAAAATTGTGACCTTCCCAAGAAAAAAATACTTCTTTTATTTGAACTAAAGTTTATTTGAAAGTTTTGCAAATATTTTCTGTAAAAAAAATTCTAATATTTT